CTGTGGTCATCCTCTTGTGTTACCAAATACTAGATCTTACTCATTCTATGTTTTTGCACCCATTAACCAACCCCACCTTTTGCCCTCCTTCCCACAGTCCTTTCCAGGCTCTAGTAACCGTCATCCTCTCTATCTCCATGAATTCAATTGTTTTAATTTTTAATGTTTTTAATTTTTATGAATTGTATTTTGTTGACTTTTGTTACTGTTGTTGCTTATGCTTTTGGTGACAAACCTAAGAATTTATTGCCAAATTTATAGTCATGAAGATTTACCCCTCTGTTATCTTTCCTTTGTTTTGTTTTGTTTTGTTTTGTTTTGAGACAGGATCTCGCTCTGTCACCCAGGCTGGAGTGCAGTGGCACGATCTCAGCTCACTGCAACCTCTGCCTCCCAGGTTCAAGTGATTCTCCCGTCTCAGCCTCTCAAGTATCTAGAATTACAGGTGCCCACCACCACACCTGGCTAATTTTTGTATATTTAGTAGACAGAGTTTCACCATGTTGGCTAGGCTGGTTTTGAACTCCTGGCCTCAAGTGATCCACCTGCCTCAGCCTCTGAAAGTGCTGGCATTACAGGCATGAGCCACTGTGCCCAGCCTCCTGTGTTATCTTCTAATAGTTTTAGTTCCCATATTTAGGTCATTCATTTTCAGTTAATTTTTGTACACAGAGTGAAGTAGGGGTCCTACTCCATTATTTTGCATGTGGTTCTCTAGTTGTCTCCCCATTATTTGTTGATGAGATTATTCTTTCCTCATTGAATGGTCTTGGTACCCTTGTCAGAAATCAACTGGCCATAGATTTTTGGGTTTATTTCTGAATTCAAATCTGTTTCATAGGTATATATGTGTATTCTTATGGCAGTACCGTACTTTTTGGAAGTCTCCAATCTGTGGACATAGGATATCTTTTCATCTGATTAGCTCTTTTTGAAATCCTTAGCAATATTTTGTAGTTTTTAGTAGGCAAGTCTCTCACCTCCTGGGTTAAATTGATTCTTAAGTATTATATTCTTTTGGATGCTATTGTAAATGTAATAGCTTCCTTAATATCCTTTTCAGGTTGTTCATTGCTGGTATATAGAAGTAACTGATTTTTGTGTATTGCTCTCCTGTCCTGCCGCTTTGTCAAATTTATTTATTGTTCTAGTGATTTTTTTCTCGTGCATTTTCTGGGGATTTTCTAAATATAAAGGCATGTCATCTGCAAATACAGTTTTATTTCTTAGCTTGCAATTTAGATGTGTTTTATTTCTTCTCCTTACTGACTGCTCTGGTAGGACTTCCAGTGCAATATTGAATACCAGTGATGGAAGTAGATGTCCTTGTCTTTTTCCTGATATTAGGAGAAAATCTTTCCATTTTCACCATTAACTATGATGTTAGTTTTCTTGGGTTTTTTTTTGTTGTTGTTGTTTTCTTTTCTTGCTCTGTTGCCCAGGCTGGAGTGCAGTGGCACAATCTCAGCTCACTGCAACCTCTGCCTCCCAGGTTGAAGTGATTCTTATGCCTCAGCCTACTGAGTAGCTGGGACTACAGGTGTGCACCACCACATCTGGCTAATTTTTGTTTAAGTGCCTCTAACAGTCTGTTTACCATAGCTTGTGTTTTTTGAGGCTTCAGGTTAATTCTTTGCTTAAACAGAATGTCTTTAAGACATTTAACACCAAATTTGTTTAAAATGAGTATTCCCTGTTTTTTTGGTATTTCTACTAACTTTTTAAAATACTGTCACCCCACGTTTCTGTTGAACTCTTTTAGAACACTTTAAAATTTTTTCATTTACTCAGACTTAGTATGGAAGATTATCAGGAGTCAAGTCCTATGTTTGGGGTTTAAATTTGTTAACTTTTAAAATATTATGTGTGCATAATAAAAATATTACATTGTTCTGTGTGCATAATAAAAATATTTTTGTGTGTGTATAATAAAAATATTAATAATTTAACTCATCAGGTGTGAGTCTATGGGAAGAGATGGACTATATCTTTGCCTTATCTATGAATAAAAGATTTGCTAAGTAATTTAACCGACTGAATTGTTTGAGAGGGCAGGTTTTTTTAAAAGCATCTTACACACATAAAAGTATTGATAATTAAAAGCCACTGATGTGAACATTATCCTAGCTTAGCTCTTTTCATTCTGTGTCTAAAATCCTGTTTCTTTAAAGAAGATTGTTCCCAATTTCTTTTATCTAAATACGTAGATTTCTTTAAAAGCGTTTTTTATTAATACAAATGGACAGAGATTATCGAAGAAGCTACAGTGTGTCAGATATTAATAATCCCTACTATTTCCTAGTAGGAGATGGAGAGAAAATGTAAGAAATGGCTCTTTTGTCATTTGGGGGTTTGCATTCTAATTGGCAAGACAAGACGCTGGCAGAGGAACTCTTACTGAGATTTGTGAATCCCAAAATTATATATATGTAAAATTTTCTGGGAAAAGTATTTATAACTTCCTTCAGATTTTTGTTTTGTTTTGTTTTTGTTTTGTTTTGTTTTTTAAGATCTCTGTGATTGTAAAATGGTAAGAATCACTGCCCTGGAAAGTGAGTAGCGTAACAACACACAACAACAAAATACCATTTCTCTCAAATTGCACAAAGTGTAGCCATTTGCAGTTATATCTGATAGCCAGACCTCTTGGTAGGACAAAAATTTCAAGTAACTCAAGTCATGTACTAATTTTGGTTTAAGATATGCCAAATTTTAGCTGTTTTGTAATTCAGTAAAAATCTTAGTATAGAATTTCTATATAGAAACAAAACAAATTTAAATATCTTTTAAAAATTAGTTATGAGCCCATCCTATGACTTACTAGTGGACCTAAAACCATACTTTAAGAATATGAATTTATGATCCTGTTATACAGGGAAACTTCCTCTAGTGGCGTAAACCTATACCCATATCCAGAAGCTTTTTGCCAACATTCCTACATCTTTTCTTTTCTAGATTAGTTGAGATATTATACATTTTAGTTTTCAACCTCATTTTCTTTAGTATCACATTCCTCCTCCTCCCTCTCTCACTTCATCTACATTCACACTCCAGCATTTAATTCTCTAAATTTACTATAAGCAACTGCTGCATCTATCAACTATTGCTATATTCAGTGTAATAAAATCCAGTAGTTGTGTCACCCTAAAACTGGGTAGAGAGATTTAATTTAAAATTTTAATTTTTTTTGGCTCTTAAGATGTTGCAAGTGGAATACCAACCCAATTTCTTGTTTTTGTTTATTTCCTTTGAATACTCCTTTTTTAGAATTAGTAAATATAATTAGCATCTAGCTAAAGGGAAACAGCATTTATGCTAAATGTTGCTGAGGGACTGAAACCAAACAGGTCACACCAGAGTTAGGAGCTTAATGAAATAACCTCAGAACACATAAGTAAATTAAACAAGGGCTTGAATATGATAGATAAGAGCTATTCTTTAAAAGTTGGAGTATGGGCCGGTTGTGGTGGCTCACACTTGTAATCCCAGCACTTTGGGAGGCTGAGGTGGGTGGATCACTTGAAGCCAGGCATTCAAGACCAGCCTGACCAACATGACAAAACTCCATCTCTACTAAAAATATAAAACTTAGCTAGGCATGGTGGCATATGCCTGTAGTCCCAGCTACTCTGGAAGCTGAGGTGGGAGAATTGCTTGAATTTGGGAGGTGGAGGTGCAGTGAGCTGAGATCATGGTTTCTGCACTCCAGCCTGGGCAACAGAGCGAGACCCTAATAAGTTCGTATTATGGTTCTGCATATATTAAACTGATTATTTTTCAAAGTTAGGTAAGAATATTTGAAATAATAAGATAACCATGAAGCACTTTGAAGACTTAAAGTCCTGTATCTATTTTTATTAAGATTTTGAAGTAGGTAGGCATGGTGGTGTACACCTGTACTCCCAGCTACTTGGGACACTGAGGCAGGAGAGTCACCTGAGCCCAGGAGTTCAAATTCAACCTGGACAGCAAAGCAAGACCCTATCTCTATATTTGGCGTATAAGAATATAGTGCTTTTTTGGGGGTGAGGGGAGATTGAGACAGGGTTTTGCTATGTTGCCCAAGCTGGTCTGGAATTCCTGGGCTCCAGTGATCCACCTGCCTCAGCCTCCCAGAGTGCTGGGATTATAGGTGTGAGCCACTGCACCTGGCCAGAATTTAGTACTTTGACTAAAGTTTTAGCATTTTTTAAATCTTTCCTATTTACTCCCAACACACTGAAGCAGGGAAAGGAAAAATGTCTTTGTTTTTTTTCTCTTTTTAAGAACTGCCCAAACTGAACTGACTCCCGTTGCAGTGATTTCCCATTACTCTTAGAGTAAAACTGAAATTCTTTACTTTGCCTACAAATCTGTACATAGTATGTCTCCCCAGGTTGCTTCTCCTAATACTCACAACCTTTTTGACTATATCTAATTTACTCCCATTTTTTCTCTTCTATTTATATGCCAAGACTATTTTCATCTCAGAGTTTTAAACTTTCTATAACTCATGTCTAGAATATACTCCCCAGAGTCCTCTCGTGATTGTCTTTTTGTATTTAGATGAAGGTCACCTCTCTAACACCCAGTCCAAATTAACGTAATGCGATTAGTCATTACCATACCATCCTTTTTTGCTTTCTTCATGACACTTACTGTTACTTAAACTTATTTATTTCATCACATGGGTTTTTTTAATACTTGCTTACCTCCAGAGTGTAAACTCATACTACTATGTAAGGAGAAATTGTCTGGTTTTTCACTGTATCCTTAGGATATAAATTCTAGAACATCACTTGATAAATGGTACTCATTAAATCATTGTAGAATTAGTTAACTGTTTCATCTAAAAGTATTAAATATATTCTGAAGAATATCTCAAAGGATTTTTGTCTCATACATTTTGGGCTTAAAGTTGTCCACATTTTAGTATTTCCATTTGATTTTTATATTTTGCTAGTTGTTAATAAACTAAGTATTAATCTCAATATGTAGAATTAAAATTTCATTTTTGACAGGTTGACTTTGGCAGAATATCATGAACAGGAAGAAATTTTCAAACTTAGACTAGGACATCTCAAAAAGGTATGTGAAACATATGCTGCATTTTTAGTTCAATTTGCTACCAGAATTTGTGGGAAGTTGTGTTATATTAAAAGCCAAAATTTAAGAGAGTAAGATTTCAAATTAAAAATTTCAGATTAAAAAGAGATGCATTAAAGTTACTTTATTTTATTTATTATTATTTTTGTTTTTTGAAACAGTCTCGCTGTCAGTCTGGAGTACAGTGGCACAATCTAAGCTCAGTGCAACCTCCACCTCCCTGGTTCAAGCAATTTTCATGCTTCAACCTACTGAGTAGCTGGGATTACAGGCATGTGCCACCACACCTGGCTAATTTTTGTATTTTCAGTAGAGTGAGGGTTTCGTTGTGTTGACCAGGCTGGTCTCAAACTCCTGGCTTTGTGTGATACACCCGCCTTGGCCTCCCAAAGTACTGGGATTACAGGCATGAGCTGTCACGCCTGGCCAAAATTACATTTTTATGTTGAGTATATTAAAATAACATTCCTTTATCTGTGTCAACTTAAAAATCTTGAGATGATGATATACCATGTCCTTGTAGTGGAGGAATGATTCTTGGACAGACCTCCAAAGTCTTCAGAGTACTCTATTTAAGTACTACCTTTTGGTAAAAAATACTTCATTTTAAAGAGGAAATCTAAAATTCTGTATTATGTTAATTTCATAATGAAATAGTAATTGTAAATAAATAGCAAACTTATTTCTTCGGCTTATCTTTTAATTTGTTGCATGTGTGATGTTTCGATTAGAAGGTGTACATAGGAAAAAGCACTTAGTAATAGTATAAAGGGATAAAACTGAGAAAACACGTTTCTATGTGTTACTGTTGCAAACTTTTAAATAATGTATATCTTTCTACTTGTTTGTAAACTCTGAAATTGTAATCAGTTTATTGTTTTTACAGGTCTTAATTTTAGTTCAAATGATTTAAGAGAAGTAGTAATAACAGAGTAGGTTTTTTTCCCTCAAAATGAAGTTACCGACAGACATAAAATTCTATTTCTTTGACCCAATTTTTTGTGCTTTCTGCTTGTCAGGTTCTTTAAATTTTTTAAATAGGCTGAATTATAGGTAAAATTGAATGAGTGGAGGTAGTATCTGTGAAGTTGTCTCCATGGGATCGGGTGAGGTAGGACAGAGAAACCCATTCTGATAGCAGCTACTATTACACTGCATACTAATTTGTTTTGGAAATGTTATTAATATGCTGGGGACTCCTACCATTTAATTATAGGGAATAGAAAATTATTATATATAATTTGCATTAGTATCCTTTAATATGCTATATCTGTCTAGGCCAACTGCCCAGAAAGCTTCAACCTAAACTACTTGAACAGTGAATTCAAAAATGATTTATTTTGGTCTTTTTGTTTTTTAAGTAGTTCTATTTTGTTCTATTGCAATTATTGACTGCTTTTCCTGCTCTTTGAGACTTAGTTGACAACTTCAGTCTATTCTCTATAATAGATGGAGCTATAGAACTATCGTAATCGTTCTATGATAATGATAGAACCATGTAAAGGAACTATAGAAGGGAAAAGGGAATTTTTAGTACAGGATGAGTCATAAGTATCTGTGTGCCCACCTAAACTGTTTTTATAATGAGTTCATAAGGGCCTATGCTTGATGTCTCATGTAAAGATTTATCAGTTATTTTCTAACTAGCCTGTGGTGATAAAGGAATACTTAGTGATTCCAAGGTGTACTTGAGAGTTTTACTGAAGGGTTATTATTTTCACATGTAATACCAAATTTCAGATTACTCTTTCTAAATGATGACAGTTTACATGTGCACCTTATTTTATGAAAATCTGTTATAAAATCTGAAATTGTAAAGCAGTTACATTCAGAATTAGCTATTTGTATTACAAAAAGTACACTTTGAAAAGGCTTCAAAGGAGGGTTTGTTTTTGTTTTTGGTTGATTGGTTTTAAAGCTTTCCTGGTACTTTGAAAACACTGGTTTCTGTGAAAAACACTTTTCTAACGTAAGGTATACTTAGTGTCCAAATATTATATAGACATTTGTAAAATGTTGTAGAACACTAAATCTTCTAACCTTCGTATTCTCCTCTTTCCCAGTGTTTGACTTCTATATTTTTCGTATTTACTTACTCTTTCCTATAACTATCCCTTCCATAATCTTTTTCCTGCTTTTTTTTTCTAGCTTTTATCAGATTTACTGAGCAGTCTTAGATTTCTAACTTTATCTTCTTTTTAACTAATTTACAACATAAATTTTCTTTTCTTTGACCTTCATCGTGGAATATTTTGGGGAAATGGATTAACAATAATGCTGAAACATACTCTCATGTCATGAATACCCAGATTTTCTTCTGAGAGACTATTTTGGGTGAGAAGAATGAGTGTATTATGAAGAAAGTGGCCAGTAGTACATACAGGAAACAAAATTAAGCAAGTAATGTCACCTTAGAGCATAAATAGCAGTTGCCTGCTTAGAACTGAGTATTAATTTTTGAGTTATACAATTAAAAAATAATAAGCAATGTTACATGTATACAAATAAGTTATTTGGTATTCTGAAGCACAGTGGGAAAAAAGGTCATTCTGTTTTCTAAAAAAGATTAAACAGACTTTTAACACACACAGGACAGGCTTGAGTCAAAAGAAAAGATATTATCACTTCTGTCTTATCAGCTTCTGGGTTTATTAAGCAGACATGAACTGTACTCCAACTTGTAAGTATACAGCTTCTACCATAGGCTGGATCTGAATATTTGATGCCCCTTGTATCCTGCACAGGAAATATAACCAGTCAGTTTGTGGTTTAGATTTGGAGCCTGGCATACTTTTGCATTAGCACAGGTGACTCTCTTGCTCTTTGTCCCTTCAATAAATTCTTAACATTAAGCAGAATTAATTATTAGACTAACTTTCTTAGCACTGAAGGATGAAAGTTCATGGAGGAAACCCATGGCATATGGACATATGAGAATAGACAGACCTGTTTACTTTTTCTTGAAGTGGATAATTTATGACATGCATTGTGTTTCATAATGATAATCACTATAATTGAAAAGCTAAACAAAAATATGAAAAAGTATGTTTACCTTTGAATAAATCACAAAGTTTAGTTCATATTTTATACTGTTCTTCAGGGTTAGAAAAATAATAAATCCAAACATAGCCTTAGTCTGTTATCCAAAGTGTGATAGAGTAAGGAATGAGAGTCAGACAGAAACCTCCAAAAGTAAGTACTTGGCTAAAATAAATAGGTGTTGCTAGTTACTACCAAAAAGTAGATGTAAACTTACTTACGGGCTTATTAATTTTTCTCTTCTGAGATGAGGGAAATCACTGTGGAGCATCACTTTTTTTTCCCCTCAACTGTATCAAGAATTCTTTTATCTAATATTTATTGTTTTAGTTGTTCCCAGTTTATGCAGTCGTTGCTCACCCATTTATTAAGTGACTTACTGCCATACTCTGCCTGACACAAGCATAATTCAAATTCCCATTTTAATGGAATTACATATTACTTTTTATAGACTTTGAAGCTTTAACCATTTTTGAGTGAACATTAATTACACCTTTTTGAATGCCCAGATCTATATATACTTCCTCTGGAGTAATACCACCAGTAAGTGACAAAGCCAAAACTTGAACCATTCCCAGTCCTATTTCAATACTGTACCCATGTGATTAATTCCTAGAATTATTTTGTTGTAGACTAATAGTAAGTCGATTCATTGTATTCAGAAAAATTAATTCATTGTGGTTTTCCTTGCATCTCTGTTAAGTACTGACTGTTTGCTTTTCCCTAAGTTTTTTTTTTGATGTATTGGGGGGTGAACATACTATTTCATTTTCATTACAGATAAAGGAGAACAGTTTTAAGTTAATTATTTTTCATACACATTCTTTTTCATTCTCTTTCACATATTTTCTTCCTTGGGCATTATGTTAGTGACCATTGTATGAACTACAATATTTCTTTGTTATTAACTAAGTTAATATATTGATTTTCACTCAATTTATTTTTAAAGGTCAGTCAACAAAGACCTTTTTAAAAAAACATTTTTTAATAAAAACTCAAATAATTTTAAAATATATCTTAAGGAATTCTTAGAATAGAACTGTATAATAAAATATATGGAGACTATACAAATTATTCCTGAAAGTATTTCAGAAGGAACAAGTAACTTTTTTAGTTATCATTAATTATATACAGACTTCCCCAGTTATTAATAAAAGCTTGTAGTTGCGAAGAGAGTAATTTCCTATCTTTAAAAAGTTGTTAATTTGAGGCAAAGCTTCTAATGATCCTATTTTATCTACCTGTGCCCATGTGGAGTTGTGAGTTCAAGGAAACCAACCAAAAACCTGCTGACTCTTATAGTTGATCAGGTTTTGATATCTGTCTCTGATAAATTCAAATTATGGGAAAACAATTTATCTTTGTGATTCAGAAGCTCTGCTAGGTTGATTATATAGTCAGATCTTTATTCTGGAGTTGAAGAAAAAGGTATGGATTTGCTTTCAAGGATTGTCACTAAATTAACACATAAAACTAAAAATAAAATACAATCCCTGCAAAATTAAATTCCTTGAAATGTCCATATTTTTAAAAAGATACAAGTTACTAGTCATAATACCCCAGACTGATGAGTAAATGAGAATTTTGAAAGTTATTAGGTTCAGTAACTATGTCTTGAGACTACTGCAGCTCAAGTTTGTGATATGAACAACATGTGGGTATGTTACTCTTTATTTTCTTGTCTTCAAATTTTTTTGTCTTCTTGATTTTAAATATTTGATTAGTTGGAGAGAATGTGTTTAGAAAGTGTGACATCTCAGTATGGAGTATTAAATAGTGTAGTAGGGATTGGCTTTAATGTGTGTGTTTTGGTATGTGTGTGTGTGTGAGTGCATTTGACTTATGAGCCCTGAATGTAAGTGCCAGAGTTTTATTTGAAAAACATAACCAATTTGTAATTGAAACAGGATTAGTCAAGAATCATCAGCACCAACACAAATGTA